AAACATTTTGTTTTTAAATTTCTATAACATATATATATATATATATATATATATATAATATATATATAATAATAATAATAATAATAATAATAATAATAATAATAAAATACGTAGATCTTAAAGATGTGTGCGTGGCTTTCGTTTTCTGTGGCGGTAACATTAGGTCTTCGAACTTCAATTCTATCGTATCGTATTTAGTTCACGTCTGAGTGTGCGGAAAGCTTAACAAAAAATTAAGGCAATTAATAGTGTGGAAATGGTGCAGGTAGAGGGTACATTTTTTACACCGATCACCGTTAGGACAAGAGATATATTCATTGTGGAAAAGTTTGCAATGCCCAAAAGTAAGCTTCAGAGACCCCAAAATGTGTATACATATATGTGATTTGATAGGCATGCTACTATAGACTTGGCCTTATGCCATCATGCCGTATTATATGCGCTGCTTGCTTGCTACATACTTTCGAGATACTGAGATTTTTCAGCTCAAACGTCCTTTTTTCCTTCAAAAGGTAAGTATGTCGCGACTCACTGAAAAGATTAAGAACTCGGGCAGTTCGTCTTCTTTAGATTACTAAGAAATGTTCGGAAGAGTTGCTAGGAAAGTTTTGTTAAATGATTTGTTTATTTTGGAAAGTATAAATTAAAATGTGTTAATTCTCTTCTAAATCATTAATTAATTCTAAAAATTTAAACATATCATATTATAATGAAATCGTCACATGATAATAATTATGTTCGATTAGAATAAGGAATATAATTGGCAACCTATGTGTCTAGCCATACTCGCCATAATATAAAAACAAGAAGAGATGGCCGCGAAAAGTGTAAGCCAACCTAAAAAACCAATCGGCTTATGTAATTTCGGACGTAAGCGTACGTGATGTTGTAAACCCAGCAAACCGTCACGGTCGGCCAACCAATTAATTAAATCATCTTCGACAATTTCAGCTACCCCATCGACTAGACACTGTATATAATCATAATGACCCTGACGTACGCAATCAATTGCGAAACCACCGCAAACGGCGAAAATTGAAATTATTTTTGCCCATGTTATGCGATTTTTATCGTGGCGAGCAAACAATTCTTTGGCAACTGTTAGTTGAGATCTTCGCCCCACTATGCCCTTCCCGGCGAACAATTTTCTCTTGAAATAAGGAAAAAGAGAAAATTTGCGAGCTATCTTTTTCACTTCTTAGACGCACTTTCGCCGCATAATGAGCATAATGATTGGTCGAAGCTAAATTTTTCTATTGAATATTATATTATTAATAAACTAAACCTATGTTGGTTTTAAAATTTTTATGTAAATATTCACTTTTTGGAATTACCTACCTGATCGGCAACGTCTTCAGTTTTCGCAATATATTCATTCGGAATATTCATTTTAATTATTTTTAGGTCTCTGTTCTACTCTTTTATTATAGATAGGTATGTGTATGTTTTTTATGCTGACTTTTTTCTGGGTTAAACGAATATATTTGTGGATGTGTTTTCTATTCCGTCTACAGTTATAAGAAAAATATATTGAACCTATTTGTGTTCTCACTTTAATTTTTTATAGTTTTATTAAATATATTCTTTAAAAAAAGATCTACAAAGAAAAAGTAAAAGACGAAGAAGCCTCGTCCACGTAAATACGAGAAGACAAGTATTGAGGACAGTGATGCCAATCTATTGTTTTTCGTACATGATTTGTGCTTTTTTATAATCTAATATTTTATTATATATATTAAATTACGAACTGGTTGCACTTGCGATATAGTTTATATTTTACTGAGAAGAAAGTGCTTTCAGTCAATTAAAGGTGGAGACAGAAAAATAATTCATTTCGTATGTGTTTTACAAACTAATATATTTTTGTTAAAAAAAAAAAACAGCAACAATAGCTGTTTAACTATATACTTCACTTAGGAACGCAGAAGTCTTGATTTTAAACGAGCACACACATTCTTCAGAATTATTTTATTAAATAAACTTGTTTTTATTATTAATTCCATATCTTTTCATTTTCTTTCTACGGTTCTTTGTGTTTTCTTTTTAATCAGCCCAAGCGTACAACTCTTTACTAATTGTGGACTTAAAATGGAGTCATGCATTTAAATTTTATCGCAAATAACATTGCATAACAATAATATTGTTATTTAGCAAATTCGTCAGTAGATTCAACGATTTATTTTTTAAATTTTCTTTTTCTTATTCAAAAAACTGAAATTGAAATTTTTCACAACAAAAACCGCTAACTAAACTGTTTTCTGTTTTTTTTTTTCAGTTCAAATATCGTGTTTACTTTGCTTTGTGTATTGAATAACAAGGTAACCAACGTTTGTGAAACTTAATTTTTTACTGTGGTCTCTAAGATAAGAAACTCTGTTAAATCAGGTAAGCAGTGTAAGAAGCTGTGTTAAAATGGCAGAGCAGTGTCAGAAACTCTGTTAAAGCGGCAAGGTAGTGTAAGAAACTATGTTAAAATGGCAAAACAGTCTAAGAAACTCTGTTGAAAGGCAAAACAGTAGCTAAATTCTCTGCTAT